TATTGTAATCTAATCTCACTAGTCAAATCTCAAACAGAATTATATATCACTAACTAGCCATTAGATCTTAAAGATCGTATTATTATATTAGCATGCGCTAGTACGTACTTTAAATGATGATCAGAACCAGGACAAATCTATGATCATCAAAAGATCAACTACTCCGGAAGGAGATCGATTAATCTAAAAAAGAGACAGTCCGGTGATCTCACCCCCGCGACTGCGCTCTTTCTTGAGCCTTTTCTTCGTGATCCTCATTTGCTTGATCTTCTCCATCTCGTCGGCGCTGTTAATCTTGGCATCTGCAATCGCAGCAGAAGAGGCCGGAGACTCGGCAGCAGAAGAAGCAACGACTTCGTCGGAGCTCTTGATCGTCTTCTTGCAGCTGGAGGTCGCCATCAAGAAACAAAGATAGCTATCAAGGCAGGAGTACTTAATCTTGTCGGCGGAAAGCTTGCGCGCCTCCAGAGGATTGTTCCAGTAGTCGGCCCCGTGACGAGTGAACCACGGAATATTCTTCCTCTCCGGCCTATCGATTATCATGTCCCTTCGGATGACCTTCTCGACGATGTCGTCCAGATTATGCTGATCGAAGAAATTGAGCTCAGGGCGGCTTCTGCGCGCGATGTCCACAACGTCGACGGCATTCTCGATCTTGACTCCGTGGATCTTCTCGAGGTTCTCGGTCAGAGCGACGGCATTGAAGGCGACCGCACGAACCCTAGGGTTCTCGAAGAACGAGTTGAGGTATTTCGCCGTAAATTTGTCCGCGTCGTATCTCGGGGGGAAGAGGTAGAGAAGACAGTGAGATCCGACGCAGAGAGAGAGGAGGCCGAAGGCGGAGGACTCATCGCCGGATTCGCGGTAGGCGGAGACGCCGATGAGGATCGTGTCGCCGTCGCTGGCGCTCGGAGAAGACTTCAGCACGTTTTTGAGCCACTTGGAGAGATTGAGAATGTTCTCCGTGAAGACGGTGAGGATGCGGTGGTCGCCGATGTGAACGCTGTAGACGTCGTAGCCGCGCTTGCTGTCGTCGGGCTTTTTGGCGCTCTCCACTGTGATTTCGATCGCCATTGATGTTTCTTGCTGAAGAAGGATGATCGGAGATTGTTGTAGAGAGAGAGAGATAGAATGAGAGTGGAAAGAAAGAAGTGCGTAGTATACTTGTTATATTGGAGGTTAGACTGTTTCAGTGTGGGTGTGACCGAGTGAGGAATGACGATGCTTTGAGCGTGGCAAATTGTTTCGTAACGGATTGGCGGTTATGTCAATTTCGAGGGGAAAAAAGAAAAACTTCTAACTAATTTGGTTTTCGTCAATTATTCCTAACTACTTCAGCATAGTATATATAAATATAAATATATATATATATATATATATCTATATATAAGGATAGTGCTTCCGTCCAGGAGGATGGAGCATTCGTATAATTACTATCAATTACATTTGAGGGTCTTGATTTACCGTATGAACTTTTACAAGTCTCGTTTGAATGCCCCATATCCGGTTAAGCTCCATTTAACATTAGAAATAGAACGACTTGTCGTTTTTTTTTTTTTCGTTTGCATTCCGACTCTCCAAATATACATCTTCTTACTTCCCTCATTCTCTCTTCTATATATAAATATATTGTGTCTCTATAAACCAAGACCACGACCTCAATATCTGCTCTTTTTTTTCCCCTTTTTTGAGCCAAGACGATTTGCTCTTGTAATAAAAGAAGAGAAGAGGCCTTACACTCCATTGGGTAAGAAAGAAAGAAAAGAGAATGATAAAAAAAAAAAACACATAAAAAAAAAAGAAAATATGAAGGAAAGTAAAGGAGTTGATTTTTTTTTATATTGTTTAGAATGATAAAAATTAATTGCCCCATAACAACTTTTATCTACCTTATTTTCCTTTCTCATCTTTCTTCTTAGTAAACAACTCACTTTATCATTTTTCGTTTAATAGTCCATTTACCTACTTCCTTCATTTATCTTTTCTATTATATTCGTACGGATAAAGAGAGAGAGAAAAAAAAAAGCACAGACCTCTTATTTCGCTTACATCGTACATGCCACATTGTTTATTGAGTTTCTCTTAAATGACATTAAACTGGAATGTCAAAATACTTAATCTGATAATTACAGATTATAAAAATAAGAAAGTTCACTACTTTATGAGCTTTCTCTTTATGATATCTGTTAATATATATATATATATATAACATATTACTAGGAACGATGAAGAAGACAACATAATATAGAGTAAATTTTATAAATTCTATCCGAATTTAGGTCAATTTTTCATTTTGACCTTCGAATTTCGAAAACTATCGTATGCTATGTAATTAATTCTCTATGCTGATGTTACGTTGTCGTTTGCAATATTACATCCATTCAATAAACAAATATTTCAGCTTCACCTATCCCACGCTACATTACGTTTGAGCCACTCAAAATAAAAGATATTTACAGAATTGACAGGTCAAAGCATGGTTCCATTGGCGGTAACCGGTTCCCAACAATAAACAATAACGATGCATTTAGTAGGAGGGATTTTTTTTAGCTTCATTTATTTTATCATTATTATAAATATTTCTTCAATATTTATTTACAAAAGTCCCCTGTTTATATGTAATATTAGATGTTATTAGAGTATTAACAAGTATCCAAGCACTCGAACATACACATGTAAGCACTAGACCAACAACACGGCGATCCATAATGATACAAAACATCAGGTACAATAAATTTATACTTTCTTTCCTCACACTTTACTTTTATGATTCAATTTTATTAATCATTTTTATAAACAACTTTTTTTCAACAGAAATGAACAACTACAGGCTATGGGGACATAAAGCCGATTAATTTGATGAAAATGTACTCAAAACACTGAAGGCACCACTTGTGGCAGTTTTCTCAGCAATGTTGACGAAACAATATCTAGGTATTTTTAAATTACTTTATTATAACATTTTTATATACATATATAAAAAAATATAGCATACATTTATTATTTACTCTATTATATTTCTAGGTAACTCATATGTTTCAAGTACATTAGCAACACTTTTCTATATTGACCCAGACATCCTAGAAACAACAACATTAAAGACAAGGTAAACACACACACACACACACATATATATATATATAGATTATATTCTAATAAATTTATCATATTAGATAATCATAAATTATATTTATATTTTCCTTAACTTATTCGTACTTTTATACATACAGATTTTCCCATCAAAATCAACAAATTGAATTCCTACCACCACCAAAAACACTTATCCAAACAATTGAAGAACAAACATCAGCAAACAGAAGAACAATAAACGAACTCAAATAAACATCAGCAAACATAAGAACAATAAACGAGCTCAAAACATTGGATGCACGAAATAATCTGGTCAGTACTATTAACTTTTCGATTATTTTTTTACTACACTTAGTAAAAAATTTAAAACCACAATATTTTATCTTTTATGCAGGGTGGGAAATTCACTGTAAGAGCGACCATAGTAAACTTTTTAACATCTCAAGGATGGTTCTACAATTCTTGCCCCAGATGTTATCGACAACTAAAATAGGCAAGAATAGGTTGGTGGTGCGACAATCATGGCCATATAAAATCAACACCATCTCCATGGTAATTAAATTTATTACCATATCATTTGTATTTATTATATATCTTTACTTACTTTAACGAAAAATTAATAACATTAAAAACAGATTTATATACATGTTACAGGTACAGATTAACAATCCAAATTGAATATCATACTGGAGACATGGAAGTTATCACTTTTGGTAAAACCGCTCAGGCATTAATAAAAAAATCGTGTTCTGCACTAACAATTGACGAAGGCTTTACTGATCCATTTATAATACCACCAGCTATAGATCAGATCCGAGGACAATCAAAAATCTTCCAAGTCTTCTTTCAACAACGAGGCACCCAAATGAGCACATTAATTTCCAAAATATTTGAAGACATCCAGGTCCCATCATCGCCACCAAAACAGTTAACTACAAGAACAGAAGATCCACAAAGGTAAATAATGTTTTTTTAAAATTTTTTATCAACTATATATAAATAATATTTTTATTATATTTATCACAATTTTAAAAATCTTATTATTTTTCAGCCCACAAGCAATACCATCATCACAGCTATCAATATCAACCACATTTGATCCACACACTCCAACACCAAACAAACCTGGTACAAGGTAAGCATAATTCAACACAATATATATTATCAATTAATTTAAAAACATATCTACCAATTATTCTATTTTTTCAGCCCTGAATCAAGAACAACAAGACAATCCGCAAAACGCCCAAAAACAATGTAATATAAATATTTTTATAATATTTATTTTATACTATATAATTTAACCATCTTTATTTCTCTTAACACTTATATTTACAACTAATTTTCTCATTTTTATATTTGCAGCTGAAAGAAATTAAATGATCAAGAACCACAACAGCGTTATTTTTTATTCTGTATAATCTGTATATATATAAATATTATAAATAATAATACTATATATGCTTATATAAATATGTTTGTACAAATTTTATATTTATCATATAATATAATACTGTATAATACATGTATATATATAAATATCTTTTAAATACAACTATCATATAATATAATACTCTATTCCGTAGCAACACGCGAATTTCATGCTCGTATCATCTAAAGGAAACAATAGTCAGAGTTGTGGTCTACAAGACAAAATTGTCTTAGTGCACTGAATGAATACATATATAATGACGTATATATATGCCCACGTTCTCTCCTCCTCTCCTCTACCAAAAATGTTAATTTACTAAATAACATTGAAAGAAACTAACAGTTGAAGCTCAAGCATAAGCGATGACGTAGTGAGCGAGTTTGAAAAACATACGGAACTTTGTTACTGTTGATAAACTATAACTATAAATACTTAAGAATCTGTGTACATTATTAGTACACAATCCCACAAAGTACTTTTAAGATTTGATCAGCCAAAATTAATAAGGAAAATGGAAGACAAAGTGGTGTTGTTGGATTTCTGGCCAAGCCTTTATGGAATGAGAGTGAGAATCGCCTTGGCCGAGAAAGGGGTCCAATATGAGGCCAAGGAAGAGAACATATTGTTGGAGAAAAGCCCTCAGCTTCTTGAGATGAACCCGGTTCACAAGAAGATCCCAGTTCTCATTCACAATGGTAAACCCGTTTGTGAATCTCTCAATATCGTTCGTTACATTGACGAAGTTTGGAACCACAATTCTCCTCTGCTTCCCTCTGACCCTTACCAAAAAGCCCAGGCCATGTTTTGGGCTGACTATATTGACAAAAAGGTTAGGATATGTACTTGTAGTTTCTTGGGTTTTTTTTCCTTTTTTTTTTTTTTTTTTTTTTTTTTTTTTTTTTTTTTTCTTTTTCACGTGAACTTTAACTGAATTGGCAAGTTGTTACTTGTTACATGAGCTTTTAATTGTGGTAAATTAACCTATAAATTTAATCAAATGTGGGTCTTAAATTAATAAATGAAGTGAAAAGTTTGAAGGAAACATCCTGATACGACTTGTGCCGGTTATTTTTGAATTTTTCAGTTTCTTTTTTAAACGAGCTTGTGTAAGGGTATTTCTATTAAAGTTTTAACAATTTATGATTTATTTATAGACTCTTTGTAATACTTATTCAAATAAAGAGTAACTTGTCTAAATTGAAAGTTTAAAAGTAACTTAACATTGGCAAAAGGTCAAGGAACAATGTACGAAATAAATAATTTATAACAATTGTAATCTATATTGCCTCAAAAGAATTATTTTGTTACATCTGAATTCATCCAAAAAAAATAACTGTTACATCTGAATTTATTATACATTACACTAAATCTAACATATGGTTTGTGGTGGGATGATGAAATATTGCAGATATTCATTCTTGTAAAGCAAGTGTTGAAAGCAAAAGGGGAAGAACAAGAGGCAACAAGGAAGGAGTTTATAGAGTGCTTGAAGACCGTAGAAGGAGAGCTTGGAGACAAGCGTTATTTTGGTGGCGAGAGATTTGGTTTCATCGATCTTGTACTGATTCCCATCACGACCAGGTTTTACTCCTTGGAAGTTTGTGCGAATCTCAGTATAGATTCGGAGTGTCCCAAGCTTATAGGTTGGGCCAAAAGATGCATAGAAAAGCAGAGTGTGGCAAAGTCACTCCCCGACCCTCATAAGATCTATGGTTATATTTTGCTTCTCAAGGAGAAATATTGGTTTTAGAGTAGCTTCACAAAATAAGAAGAACAATAGTATTCATCTTCATAGCATAAACCTCTATAGCTCATGGAAAGAGGGATCCACTTATTCATTTAATCTTATAGAGATGAATAGGAGTTCTCAAATAAGAAATACAAAAAAAAAAAAGTATCTATTACTTATATACTAGACCTACTAGTTCTAGTGAAATCAAACCGGGGGAAAAAATAAATAAAAGAAATGGTACTATTTTTTTTTTTTTTGACTATTTAGTTGAGTTTTTTGTTTGCTTATTGTTCATATGTTTTTATCATCACTGAGCTAATAAATGAAATGAGTTGCCTAAGACCTTTTGGACTAGAGACACTAGGGGGTTTTGGGTGGGGTGGAGTTTAGATTGGGGGTTGTAGGTTCAATCTTGTGTTGTATAAAATAAATAAATGAGTTTACACTTATGATTTGTGCCTTTTAATGGTTCATTCACTGCCAACCAAAGTTGTCCTTTCTCTTTCTATAATCTTGTGCTGCCCCTAATTGATGATTAAGGCCGTTAATCCTCGATGATGATTGTATTTTGCCATCCTTTAGCTTGAGTTTATTTCTTGTAGTTCGTGCTTTCTGGCGTGGTATTTTTTTTTTTTTTTTTTTATAGAGATTCTAATGCGGAGTACAAATATATGCATGTTATGTTCAGATTTAAATATATAACTTACAAGATTTTTTTCACTAAAAAAATGAACTATTGAAAAAGTTTTGTTTTCAGCACTTACAAAATGTCTCTTACACATTTTCTAACCTGATCTGATTTTGACAAGATTGAATGATCATAAACTAACTCTATTAGTAAGAAAACCTTACTTAAGAAAGTCCCAATAACTTATGTGATCAATTGTTTATTTTTCCGTAGTCATTATCACTTTTTTTTTCAGTCTATCATTCATTTTTTTTCAAAGGAATTCATTCATTCTTATTACAAGTTGTTTCAAGAATTTATGTTGTTTTATTTTTTATTTCTTTTTTAGGGGAAGTTGTTTTATTTATTTTCATTGTCCCGTTCGCAATTTTGTTCTCATTTGTATATATGATGTCGTCTTATTATATTTGTGTCGTTTCATTTGTCTTCTAGCTTTCTAGTTTATAGTTGTTACTTTTCTTTTTCATTCATGATTCTCCATTTTTTTTTGTTTTGTGTTTGTATATTACTATATGTGTTGTATGTGCGAGTGTTTTTCTTTTATTTTTTATTTTTTCGGAATGTTGTTTGTTGTTTTCCGTTTCTTGTCGTTCAAAAATTTTATTGTCGTGCTAGAAGTTTGTTGTCGTTGCATACTCCACTTGAATTGTGGGCTTTTAGACTTCGGGCCGTTGACCCATAAAACTAAATGGTGGTCCTGCTGTAAATTTGACAAATCAAAGATGGCGTTTTCGTACTCTTAACGCTGATGAAACACAAACCCTAGTTCTCCCCCTCCCTATAAATAAAGGATGAAGAAGAGTCTAAGCATCGTGGGGTGGCTGAGCTGACCAAATGTATTGTTAGGTGCTTTATTTTTTATATTAGATTTGTTCTTAAACGTCTCTGTTTCGTTTTTTGTTTTCCTTTTAATTGTTTAATCTTTTTTTTTTTTGTTCGATCCGAAAATGATTCATTTGATCAAATGAAATCCGTGCACAATAAGCCGATGCTCTGGAAGAGTAAAACTGGATGAAGGTAGCATGGTAGTGTGCACGGAAATGGAATTATGGGTGAACATGTCTGCTCTCTCTGACGCTTTCGCTTTGATTTGAGGGCCTGGTTCCTACCCACATCTTCAATTCTGTCTTTGCTCACAGTTTTTAGAGACCAATCTTTTTTTTTTTTTTTTTTGTGTTTTACTTTTTGCGAGAGGTTGTTTTTCTTGCAGTAGGTTATACCCTGAATTGTATTTTAGAAAATTCCAGCCTCCAAATAGAGGGCTGATCTTTTCTCCTCTTGAATAAATGCCTATGTAAAACACTTTTATAAAAAGCACATTATAATTAGCAGATTGCTCATTCGTTTTTTTTCTTTTTTACACAGAATCCAATACATATGATTATAAGAATTATTATTATGAGTCTGTTAAATTTTACGATCATTTTTAGTTTTCTTCCTCAATTTTAAAACTCTCATTTTATTTTTAAATTTTAAATTGTTTTTAAGCTTTTTTTTAACCTCTTTGATTAAAGAGTTTTGCAAATTAATTCCTCAATCTTTTAGTAATTTGCTTCTTAAATTTTTATATTCATTGCAATATCAGTCCAATTAAAAATGGAGTTAAAATTTTAAACGATATCTTTCATGTCAGAATTTAGTGAAGATAATTGTGATCTTTTTTCATCAAATTAAACTCCTTATACACATTATTAATGATTTCTTGTAAAAAAAATTAGAGGATTAATTCAATACAAAAAGATAAGAATTACCCTTATTTAACATTGTCAAAATTTTAAATTTGTTTTTCGTTAAATTAACAATACAATGAATTTTAAAGTTGTAGGGGTGAACTGCTAAGAAAAAAGTTTTGGGATCAATTTACTAAACTTGTAAAGTTAGGGGTGTCCATACAGATAGAGAGAAAAAAAAGAGTAATAGTCTTATGCTATTTTTGATTGATCCCTCAACTTTAAAAACTCTAATTTTGCTCTTTGAATTCTGAATTGTTACTAAGCTTTTTTTTTTCTTATACCTCAATTTTACGAGTTTGACAAATTAGTTTTTTAACTTTTTTTTTTGGGCAACTTATTTCTTAAACTTTAAAATTTATTATAATATTAATCAAATTAAACATGAAGTTAAAATTTTAGATGATATCTTCTACGTGAGTTTTTAAGAAGAATAATTTTACTTTTTTTTTACATTGAATTGAACCTTTTATACACACCATCAATGATTTTTTTTTTTTTTTGAAATTTGGGGACTCAATTTTTGTTTGAAAACTAGTTAACTCTAAATTTGAAAAAAGCTTTCGCTCATGACGTGCATATGAGTGAGGATCAATTTGATGCAAAAAATAAGAATTGCCCTCATTTAATACTCATGTGGAAGAAACTGATCATATTTTTAACTTTGCTTTTAGTTTAATCAACATCACAAGGAATTTTAAAGTTTAAGGGGTGAACTGACAAAAAAAAAGTTTAAAGACTAATTTAACAAACTCATAAAGTTAAAGAGGTGTCCATATAAAAAAGACTTGTCTCCACTTAACTTCTTATATTAGAATTTCTCTTAAATACAAATAGGAAAAAAAAGATTAATACAGTCATATGTTATTTCTGATTGAACACACTTAACCATTTTTTGATATGATTTTTACAAAAATTCTTACAAAAGGGCTTAAATGAGATTAATTTAAAATTGAGGGCACAAAATGAGAATTTTTAAAATTTAAGGGGTAAATTAAAAATGAATTTAAAATTCAAGTGGTACTAGTGATAATAATACAAATAATGAGCATACTTTCAAATTAAATATTCAATTACAGCAGCTAAATTTAAAATAAATTGCTGCAAAATGATCTTTAAAAAAATCATTTGTATTTGAGAGTCCATTTCTTTCTTGCTCGAGAAATTCGTGAATAAGAGCAAATATTTCCAAAATCTGTCTTAGTCTTCTACGAGAACTTAAGTTTTACACTATGTTTGGTAAAGAAGAAACGTAAAAGGTGGAGAGATTTTGGGAGAGAAAATAAAAAAAGTGAGTTGTTTGGTAAAAGAGAAAAAATGAGGGAAGAGAAATTATAAGGAAAAATAGTACTAAAGTCCAATAACAGTACATGACTCGAGGACACAAAACTACCCAAAAACCCAATGATACAATTGATAATGTTATGTTTTTTGTTGGCATTTATGGCAACAATGTTGAAGAAAATATTCAGCAATTCTGATTACTTATTTTGTAATTAAAATGTGTCAGATATAATTGAATTTCAAAAAAGATTCTATGAGATAAGTTTCAAAGATAGATGCGTCTATTGACACGTCAATAAATACTAGCACCACTCTTTATGTCACTCTTTTTATCACTCTTTAGGCCCGTTTAGTTCGCTGATTTGAGTTTTTAATTCGAGTTGAGATGTGACTTTATGTGAGAGCTTTTTACTGTAGTAAAAAAGTTAGATGTGATTGTTTGTGAAAGTTTTTTACTATAGAAAAACTCGAATTCTAAACTCGAATCAGCGAAATAAACGGGGCCTTTGCGTTCACAGTTTGACTCACAAATTTTATTAATATAATATATTATTATTTAAATGAAAAATTAGATAGTGAATGAAGTTAACGTGTCAAACAGTGAATGTAAAGAGTAACAAAAAAAATGATGTTAGTATTTCTCTTAATACCCTTCATTTTACCTTTTTTTTTTTTTTTTAAGAACCCTCATTTTACTTTTTACGCACATATTTTTATTAAATTTGTTATTTCTAAATTTCCTGTTAATAAAATTACTTTTTAAGATAATATTTTTTTATAAAAAAAATACTCATTCCACACCCTACCTTTTATATATATATATATATATATATATATATATATATATATATTACCTCATAATTAAAGAGACCGTGCATATATGGCCGATAGGTCTTATTCCACGTAAACATGCGAAGATTTTCTTAACCGTGAATATCATAATTACTTAGGTGATGAGTTTTTACTCTCTCGAAATTAACATTGTTCGGAAAAAAAAAATCAACCGTGAAGAAAAAACAGAATAATATAAAATTATGTTGTTGGTAACTAATGAAGAATATTGTAATTATGAGCTTGTGCAGATCAAAACAAAATTTATCAGAAAGATCTATTAAAACAAGACCTGTTAGAACGAGTTTTAAACAATAGTGTATTACAAGACGAGTAAATGCAAATCAAATTGAAGACCGTAAAACAAACTGAACGACTTAAATTCAAAAATTTGATGTATTAAAAAGAAGAGAAAATGAGACAAGTATCTCTTATAATATATGAGTTTTAAATTTTTATTTTTTATACTTGATTAAGATTTTTTAGTCAAAAAATTATATTAGCTAAAAGAAATGTAAATGATAAAAATATTAGAACAATGCATGCAAAGAGTGAGTTCACCGATTTTCTCTAAAAAGAATGTAAGGGGTAGATGAATTAGTTACCATTTGTTTTTCCAAATTTAATAACTATTTTTAACTTCTTTTTTTTTCACAATTTAGTAGAATTGACAAGGGAATAAATATGGTTGAAAAAGGAAATGGCTGTTTAATCTTTAAAAAAGAAAAGTAGGTGAAAAAGGGAAAAATAATTCAATTTAGTTTAAGAGACTTTTTTAAAATTTTAAGAGGGGTGTAATAAGTATAATTGAAGTGGTTTAAGAGCGGGTGTGTGAAAAGTAGATTAGGGAGGGAACGCACCCTCTAAAAAATGTGTTAGCTAAAATCATGAGGAGATAAAGTTGAATTTTTATGTGGATATCTACTGAGGATTTACTACAACTTTTAAAAATTTGAAAAGATTATATTTTATTTGGTCGAGCAAAAAAGTAAAAAGAAAATAACTACTAGTTTAATTAGAAATAAATTCGAGTTCTACTTGAATTTACTATTCAACTTTGAGAAGGAGTCTGTATGGATTGCTCTATATAAGTCATAAATCAGATGAAATTGATGGCTTTCTGAGGCATTTGTCTAAGAGGTCCACATTTAACGTTGTTTGAGAGAAGAATTTGCAGTGTTTGGAAGAAGACACTCTCGAGTGTTAAAGAGATTTCAATCAATCATCATTTTTTGGAAGAAGTAGTCATCTTCGGGAGAGGAAGATATGCGATTTGAAAGGAGTTTAAGTTAGCAAACATTAAAGATTAGTGGTGCTTATTGAAAAAGTTCATCAACTTGATTTTACATGAAAGCGACAAAATCAAGAAGGGAATCTTTGTTTATATAAGTCCGATTGGTATTTGTATTCGTTGAGACTTAATGAATTGTTCAATATTTGAACATAGTCTCGTGGATGCAAGTTTTTGCCGAACCATGTAAAATTTCCTAATTTTATTCTTTAATTTATGCTTTCGTTAAAATAATGTCACGCCCCCAAACCGGGGTTAGTGACTTAGATACTTGTTTAGAAACTTAAACCTGTTTAAGAGACTGATTAGCAAATAATGTTGCAAATATTTTAATTTTTCAAATCTAAAACATCCAGGTATTTCCAAACAAGCCCCCTGCATTCAAGAAGAATTTAATTTCAAGAAAGGTGGTGGAATTTCTAACCAAACCAGTTTAAAACCACGTTCCTGGTATCAAGTCAGGAATTTCCACATGTGTTTGGCATACATGAATATAAACAAAAGTAAATGTGACATCAACCACAGTTTAACAATATTTAATTTTACAATCCATAATCTTTTATACATGCCTTGAGATAAAAGATAAGAGGAAATATAACTCTTCACTTCCCGAGGTCAAGTCACGTCACCGGTAGTAGCTACCTACTCCGCACTACTCCTCGCGTCGCCTGGAGGGGTTTAATATATATTTGAAAACAAGAAAAGTGAGCGAAATGCCCAGTAAGATATAATTTTATAAAGCATTTAAAATAAAAATACTCACGGTCTGAAGATATACACCCGGAACCGGTCATCCCTTTTTAGAAAAGGAAATACTCACATAGTATAAAATGTATGTATAATGAAAGTGTGCAGCTCATCATACCACTAAACAAGAAGCGATAAAATGTATGTCTAGTGAAAAGTGCAGAGTCATAGTTCCACTAAACAAGAATTGAATCCGTACGGGTTTCGGGACCTGCCCCCAAGGATGCGATTCCCACATCCCGATCTCTGAGGCCACCATGCGTTGTATCATTCCTTAAAATATTTCATTTTAATAAATGATACTCTTTAAAATCTCATTTCTAAAATCATTGAAAAACTTAATAGCATTCTCATGCTATTTCTTTAAAATCATTTTCTTTAAACATATTTTGTTCTAAAACATTTTCATTGGCCAAAATAATTTATAATGAGACTAACAAGGATATGGACAAAAATATCCTACCTCTAAGATGTCAAACCTGGGCTAGCCTTCCGTTCTCCTAGCCTCCGCTTTCCTTAAAGCTTTAATACTTAATATTCTCCACTAGCTTTATCACAAAAGTAATATCTTAGGAAATATTTCTCATTCCTAAAACGAATTAAGTTCAATCATGTTTGATTATTTTCTATTAGTGTGCCTTGATTTAAATCCAAGTTTTACAAATGATTTTATAATTCAGTTTGAGAGTTCTTTAAAATTAGAATCTAATCCATAGGTTTGGTTTTCCTATTTAATTTTAGTTTAAAAACAAGTTTTTAAAGAAATTTTGACTGCATGCCGGCATAAATAGGAAAAATGCCAAACCTGTAATTCAAGTCCAACTTTAATATATATTCTCCAGAATCCATCAAAATCAGTTTCCAATCAATTAAACAAGTCCAATAATTAAAAATCCCCAAATTTCATTCAATTTCAACAACAATTGTTCAAATTCAAACCCTAACTCAAAATTATTCAAATCTAACTAAAATTAAACTTTCTCAAGCTTAAAATTCGAATCAAAGAGTGGGTTTCAAAGGATTTTACCTCAAATTAGTTGCTCAAGCTTTGTCTCCCTCAATTTCTCTGTTTTTCATTTTTTTTTGTTTTTTTTGTGGTGGTTCTCGGCCAAACTGCCGAGAGAGGGAGGGAGAGAGAGAAAGCAAGGGAGAGAGAGAGAGAACGCCGGCGGGAGAAAGCCCGGAGAAGGAGGTGGCCGGTGGTGGAAGAAAATAGAGAGAGAGAGGGGCTGGCGTTGGTGAGAACAGAGAAGAAGGAAGAAAAAAAAAAAGAAAGAGGGGGGGGCTGCACGGGAAGGGAGAGGGGGAAAAGAAAAAAAAGAAAAAGGAAAAAAAGAAAAGAAAAGGAAAAGAAAAAAAAAATGAAAAAAAGGAAAAATGCATAAAAATTTAAGTGTATTTTTAAAAAATTTTGAAGTAAAATTATAAATACTGAAAATAATTTAAAGTCCATTAATTAATTATAAAAATTAAATTAGACACACTAATAATTTATAATTTAATATAATTAAATATGTTTAATTCTAAAGCACGTTATAAATAAATAATTTGATATTTATTACATCCGGTAGATTGTCAAAAAAAACGGATCTTCCAAATAAAATAACCCATAACCACAAGTCATTTGACTCCTATATTTATTATTATTATTATTGTGCCCCTTAAAAAAAAAAAAAAAGAAAGAAAGAAATAAGAGCTGTAGTTGCACGATCACATCCATAATCTTGGGGCCCACGTGGAAAATTTCACTCAAGGAATTCAAACATGCCTTCTCCAATATTGGTCCCATTAATTGTACATCAATACTAATTTGCTAGATCACATGATAAACGAGAGCCGGAAGCTCTCTTCAGTCTTCAATTCTTCTTATTACCATACGCGTAGAGTGGTATGGCTCTCTGGAATTCGCATTTATAGATTAGCAGGCAACAACAAATGGTCCTCCATTTTCTTTTTTTTACCAAATGATACCAATTATAATTCTGATTGGAAGTTCCAGTTCTTCTGTTTTATGAGCATCAATTTAAGTAGTAATTTCTCCAAGGTGAAAACATAATCCTTACATGTTGGCAGCTTGTTTTTCGCTGAGTTAAAGCTTTGGTTATGTAAGAGTAAGTTGGCAGTATTTGCTCCATTGATCTAAAGTCTTGGTGACACACTGCTTGCAAACTTTTTTGCACTTTCATTCTAATATGAATGCGATTTTTTTGTTTCGGACATTATCCTTCTTCATTTAAACAAATCTAGGTCTTTCGTTATTTTAAAAGCTAAGACATAAGCAAAACCTATTACAATCTTCCTACTCATGGTACCACAAAAAGAAGACTGCAACAGTTTTACCTTTCTATTAGCAGAAAAAAAAAAAAAGAAGAAAAATCAGAAATACCATTTAATATGACAAAAAATATTACTTATATCACTTCACTAAAAAATAAATATAAGTAATTATTATTTAATTAATAAAAAAAAATAAAAAACTACAATGACACTTAATTATTTAGAGTATTAGTATAATAATAATTCTTCACAAAATTATGACAAACCATTTACTTTTTTGAAAGCGTATATTTTTTTTTTCGCATTAAGGTTTGATTTTTTGTTTGTCGTTTCTCTCATGATTTCATGTTATTAGTAACTATTGGTTTTCTCGTCATCCCTTGGGCGAAAAGTTTTAGTTTATGTGAAACAGAAAAAGCAGGGTACATTATAAAGTAACGAGATAGGACAATTAGAAGTCAACTGTGAAACATCCTGAATCTTAACCATATTTCTAATGTTTGCCACGAGGCTTGAAATTAGTTCAAACAACAAAATAAAGAAAAAACTTATCACTTATTGCAAACTTGATGATGTTCGATAAATTTACAGTCACAGCCCACATGTATGTCACATAATTCAATTTAACATTCAGCTCAAAATTATCTTCTTTCACTTGGAGAGAAATTCTTGGTTACAACCACACAAACATCAAAAACTAGGTCCGGCTGGGACATGTAAAATAATCTAAACCGACCTCGGCTTCAAGACAATGGTGGAGTGCTTTAATATGTGCAAGCTGAACTGTCCACCTTTCTCGGATGTGTCAATCTTAGACTGTCCTGCTGGCGGCAAGAGCTCAAAATTCTGCACCAAACGCCCCAAAGTAATGCCGAGAATTGGCAAGGCGAGGATGATTCCGGGGCAGCTCCTTCTGCCGACGCCGAAAGGAAGGTAGCGGAAGTCATTGCCATTGGCCTCGACCTTGGCTTCCTCCTGCAGGAAGCGCTCGGGGCGGAACTCCTCGGGGTTCTTCCAGTTGGCGGGGTTGTTGGCGAGCCACCAGGCGTTGACGAGGATCTTGCTCTCTGCGGGGATGTCGTAGCCGCCGAGCTTGGCGTCGTGGAGGTTCATGTGGGGGACAAGGAGAGGGATGGCCATGCGCAGCCGCAGGGTTTCCTTGATCACGGCCTGCAGGTAAGGCAGCTTGAGCATGTCTGGCTCGGTGATCTGCACGCCTCGTCCAAGGACAGTGTCTAGCTCATCACGCAACTTCCTTTGAATTTCTGGATGGTTCACTAGCTCGGCAATGCCCCACTCGATTGACCATAGAGTTGTCTCAATTGCTGTTTTCGTCACAATGATTGACAACAACAACAAAAAAATCTTAGTTAGCTAGCTAGCACTTGATACTTCAAAATCATGAAAACTTAACAAAAGGTGCTGTTTTTTGCAAGTGATCACTTTATTTCGGCGTGTGCGATATTTGGAAAGGTTCAAAAATGGTGGAAACCTCACCATGAATCATACTGTGGCCGGAACTACAGTACGACCGAATTTTTTTGTTATTATTGTACCATTGAAATTTAAGTTGCTTTTATTACGTGGAACCAAAAGGAAAACAATTGACTTTCAAATGTTTCCACGGTTGATTTGGTGTTGGTGGTACTTTAAAGCGTCTCTCAATATAATCACATACCAGTCCCAGAAGTCTAAAAATGTTTGGTAAAGGTTGAGAAACAGAAGGCGGTTGCTTGTTTTTTATAATAAAATATGCAGTGAACCAAAAGCATTAATGATGGAGTGGATTTCTATAGCCGTAAAGGGATCCCTGACCTATGTATTACATTGCAAGCAACCTTATAATAATACATGTATGATCTATGAAGCCAATATTTAGTTCGTAACAATGAACGTAATTGTCCCACTTTGGTTAGTGGGCTTGTAGTGCTCAAAACTCATAGATATCCTTGTTCTCGTTCCTATCTACCTACCCCAAGGCACAAATCACCGAACCTTGTGGGATGTTTGTTTCAAGAGTTCATTTCTGATTCTAAATCATGATTTTTTATTCTCTATAGTGTTTTTCTCTCACAAAAAAATTAAATTTTAAAAATTAAAATCATAAATAAGAACCAAACGTCCTATAAGAGGTTCAGGGAATTCATTACCATTACGGACAGAAATGGAAAAACGTGTCAAACAAAACTTGTGTAAAACCGAGGTAAAGAATAGGTGGGGATAAGCTTATAATATCTTGTGGGCTAGGCAAAAATGAGAGTTTCTCCGGTAGAATAAAAAAAATAAACTACTAATAATTTTTTTATTTTTAACTGATAGATCTATATATTTTAATGTGATTTTAATTAAATTTAATATTTAAAAATTAATTCTATCGATAAAGAGGTCCTACAAAAGAAATCTCAAAAAATTATTTGATTTCAACAAATTATTTCCTCCATGGTTAGTACGAGTTGAAAAGGGTGGGAAAGAAAGACTGAAAGGAAGCAAGGAAGGGTGATGACGAGGGGAATTAGAATCCTAAAGGATTAACTTCACGTGGTAGGACGCCAAAAGGAAAAGTCAGTTACACCTAACTCCTAAGTTGAGAAAAACTACCTAAGCTTTTTGATATATTAATTTCAGTCATTTATTAAATAATTTTTCTGGGGACTATAAAATACATAAAATACTGGGTGCTGCAAGTTGCTTATTTTAATATTTAGTAGATTACTGGATATACGCGATCATCTTATCCCATCCATAATTGAAGGGTAAAACATCATATCTTATGAACAACTACATGAAAGTACGCAACTTATAGTGCATAAAGTGTGATATTCAAACTCCATAATTCGGTGAGCAATATCTGAGTTTGGTCTGCAGAAGATTTTGCAAAGAAAAAATGGGACTCGAGTCACTGGACTGCTCATAATGACAACTGTTTTTGAGCTACAGATGTCCCCAAAGAGAATTGTGCCAAACTTCTTTTATTTTTATTTTTTTTTCTTTTCAGGAGGAGAGAGGAATTGACACCCTTTTATGTGCCCCTTTCATGTACTTTTTAATAAATATCATGTAACGTCGTTAAAATAGTCCGTCAAAATTTCAGATTGTATCAATTAAAACGTTTGACAGTTATTTAACGTATAGTCCGAGCAGGGAGAGGGCTTTTAAAGGCTGTACAGAGGAGGGAGAGAATCAGAAATGTTTCCTTTTCCCTTTTCAAAAGGCAGTGTGCCCGAAAGCCCAAACCCAATCCAATTTTTACCTCACCAATTGCGGAAAAGTAAGAGGGTGTTTGGTAGAGGGATTCGTTTCCTGATTCGAATAATAATTCATGATTCGTTATAATATTTTTTCTCATAAAAAATTCACGTAAATCAAAAATTATTCGAATCACATGATTTGAATTTTCCAACCAAACGTCCTCTAAATCAGATTGCCAACCAAATAAAAAAATATATATCCTGATTGGTCAAAACGCCCACTAGACATAAGAGCCTTTTTTCTATTGGGAAATCTCCTCTTTTTCTTTTTCTTTTTTTGATAAAAAGTAAACGCCCTTTTACAAATAATAATGAAGTATGGAACCTGTTCTCGAGTCAGTAGTTGTAATGTTTGTAAAGAACAACTTTAACTCTCCCGATAATGTAAAAATATAAATAAATAAAAATTCAATAGTGTATTTACAAATCTTAGTTCAAATATTTTGATAATTTTTAGTTTTAATGTAATATAATAGTTTAGAATTGCATAATATTAACGATGATTTTTTTTTTTAATTCCCATCCATGGAATCTAGCATGAAAATAGCACTTTCATTAAAAAAAATGCTTGAAGGAGCATAGTGATATCTATGATTTCCACAGGAAGGAATAGGATGCTTAAATTAATAATAAATAAAATTTTCTATTTTCTACGTTGTTTGGACGCACTAGTGCATTAAATATACTTAAATAATTAGGTAGAAAAATTTAAACACAGGAGAATAAGTATTTTGGCAGCTATAAATAAAACCTTTTTTTTTCTGAGATTGCCAATCATGCCTGTGCGCAACATAAATAAAAGGTTCTACCAAAAAAAAATCATAAATAAAAGCTTTTCTACTAAGAAAAAAAAAACAAAACATTAAAGAAACGTACCATATATCCTCAACAATTAAAATTAACATCCTAAAGGCGAGTCTTTTAAAGGTAATGCACATTTATGGTCCATCCGTTTCTATATTTATCATGTCATGTTGCGTAACACATCCAACAAGGTCTGAAGATTTTATTATCAATATGTAGATGTAATTTTTACCTCAAATGTTCATTTCTTTATCGTTTCCAATAATATAAAAGTCAGTGTACTTTCCAATAATAATTATTGTTTTCTATAAAATGAACCATTAACCTCCAAGACAAAACTACCCTTCCTATTTTCAATATTCGATCAAGAAAACATTAACCTTATTGGAGGGCATATCAGTAAATAACCAACCATAATAAGACTAACAAAATAAAAACAAGTGTAAATTAGGAACAGAAACCACTTACCGGCAACGTTGATGTTCTCAACAATGTAAAGAACATTGTCCTCGTTGATCTCTCCCTTCTGCTGAGCTTCCAAAATATGGTCAATCGCGCATTTCAATCCTTCATTATCCGTGCTCTTCGGGCTCGACAACTTCCTGTTCATAATAACAATCCCAAAACGACATCAAAAATAAAACCAAAATAAACAAATGAATACGACAATAAAAAAAATAAAAAATAAAAAAAAAAGACATACTTCCTCTCATCAACGAAGTAATCCTTAAAGAGCTTAAGCCTATTCTCCTTGACTTCCTTACAGATCTTCAAGTATCCCCTAAGGAAAGGCCTCAAGATTGGAATAAAATCTCCATAGTTATACTCAAAGCTCTGAGCCAAACGACTTCTCTCACCATTCAAAGCCTTGAGCTTGTTAAACAAGGGGTCTTCCTCGCTGTCAAATCTTCGGTCGAACATGATTCTGTACATGTTGTTGTACATCATGAGCTGCAACCGCCTCCTCAAAACGATGCCGTTTCTGGCCGCCTCGGGGTTCTTCTTCACGTCCTCCACCACGCTCGCAGCCTCCGACTCCCACCCGTACCGGTACTGCTGGACCACCTTGTTGGTGAAGAAAGGGACGGTCATGATCCGCCTCATCTTCCTCCAGTGCTCACCGTACACCGTGAACACCATATCCTGGCCCTTCCCGGTGAAGATATCAAACACGACGTTTCGGGTTCTCGACCCGAACTCGACCCCCTGAGTGTGGAGCACCTCCTTGGCAAGCTCCGGCGATGATACGATCACGAGGTTTCGCTGCCCCATTCGGAGGAGGAAGATGTCGCCGAATTTCTTCGCCAGATCGGTCAGGTTCCGGTGGTTAAGGTCGTCGCCGACTTGGAGCCAGTTTCCGAATACCGGCACGGGGATGGGCCCAGGCGGGAGCTTGAACCGCTTCCCGCGGAGCTTGGAGATCACGATGGCGACTATTACTGCTGCAAAAAGGCCCAGAAGGGTCTTCTCCAGCAGGAGGAGATCCATGGCTGCCTACGAACGAATGAGGAGAGAGAAAGTGAAGAGACAGAGCAAAACAGAAGTTTGAGTTTTTTTCCTTCCCTGGTGGATGGGTTATAGGTGACGGGTTTTTATAAGCGGTTGTGTGTCATATTAAATTATATATATATGTGTGTGTGTATGTATGTGTGTGTGTGTATATATATATATATATATATATATATATATATAAAGACGGCTGAGAACGTTAGGTGAATCGTGTGGTGGAAATGGTGTGGGTGTGATGACTGATGAGGGTGGGATCGTGGAGTGGGTAAGAACAAGACCATCAGGCTGTTACTTGACGGCGTTAGGTGTCTGACGGCGACTTTTTTTTTTTTTTTTTTTGGGTCGGAGAATGTTAGAAGAGGAGTGTAAGAAATTGGGCATTTTAAGGGAGTAGGTAAGATGGAAGGGGGTTGGTGGGCGAAAATGTGTCAAATATTAGGTTCTGCTTCCGCATCATCCGTACGCCACCACTTTTGCCACCACGTTTCTCACCACTCGATTTGCGTTACGTCATAAATTGCTTTCATTTGTGGTGGTGATCGTCTGGGGAGGAGTTGACAATTCATAAACGTGCAATCTTGATAGTTTCTTGGTTGAAAATGAATTATTTACATGTTACTCTTGTGGTCACCACAACACTGAATCCTTTGCCTTTTCTTTCTTTTTTTTTTTTTTTTCTTTTCAATGTGTTATTAATTAACTAAGATCGAAAACAGAATCATTTAATGTTTTTTTATTTCCTTTTTTGTTCAGCAACGTATATTTGTTTATTGAAGAATGGTTGTGATGTGATTCCACCCGTTCGATTACTTGATTTGCGTGGCTTCACGTGAACCTTCAACTCTGCTGCATGAAATATAGGCCTCGTTCATTTCACCGATTCGAGTTTTCAGTTTTAGGTTTCTACAGTAAAAAATTTTCAAAAAATATCACATCTAACTTTTTTTGTTACAGTCAAAAACTCTCACAAAATGTTATATCTCAATTCGAATTAAAAATTTAAATCCGTAAAGTGAACGAGGCCATAATAATGAGCCCACAACTCGTAAATGATACACCGAAAATTGTTCTCCAGCACTCAGCTGAGTTTTTCCAAATATTCTCTTAAGAAAAAAGAGAGAGAAATTGATTGCGAATTTTCCAAAAAGAAAAAAATAAAAACTAAATATGACAGTTTCTAGTTTCACCTTAGAAAAGGAAGTTACCAAATACAAATGCTGAGGTTGCGGCTGGAGGGCACGAAGTATGAACTGGTGGGTCCACCAGATTTGTTTGTGTGGTATGTGGTTAAATGACATAGGACAAATTATACAATTACCTTTCGAACTATAGGCCAAATGCTCTTCAAATTTTAATTTATAACATTCATTTTTTCCTTTCTATTAAAATTTTGACAGAAAATAATATGTGGCCCTCATTTACAATAAGAGTAATAGAATTAAAAGTACAATTACAAAATTGCCTATAAAATGATGTGCAATTATACAGTATTTTTTTTATACCTCTCAACTTTCTCATTTATCAGAGATGGAATCTCACCACATGTTAAAACCTATTTCCTAAATTAATCTATAGCAAACGAAGCATTAAATGAGCAGAAGATCTTGATTTTTATAAGCTTGTTCAATGTGAAATTGATGAAACACTAGCTTTTCTTTTTTAGACGAGAGGACAAAGATTCGAAGGGACAAAAAGGTCGGGCTGCCATTTATCTCTAACAATAAAGTAGATGTTTATTTTATAGATTCAGAATCATTTTTAATTTACGTGTGTTTTTTATAGGAAAAAATACTGTAACAAACTACAAATTATTATTCGAATCATAGCACGAATCCACCAACTAAACGCACTGAAAGTTAAAATATGGATTCGTTCGTTTTTGCTTCTTTTTTTTTCCAGTGGTTCTTAGATCTAAACAAACCCATCTTACAAATTACATTCGAATTCATCCCATAACCTTCAAATTAGAAATTCTCAATTTGCATCGCGACCGTCATGACAATGGAGGTCGACCCAAGCGGGTGCCCTCCTCCCATGCGCTTCGCGGCGCCTTGCCTTGCCTTTGGGTGGCGATGGGTTGGAGTTGTTGGGGACTCCATCACCGTGGTCGTGGCCATCGTTGGTGTGAACGAAGGGGTACTGTTTGACGATAAGGAACAAGACTGTCAAGGAGATGATTTTTTTTATTAAAAAAAAAAATTGCATTTAAATTTTTCTGGTTTGGACCTTTCTTTTTTTTTTTTTTTTTTTTTTTTTTTTTTTGTGTTGTTTTTTTTTTTTTTCTGTTACAATTCGGTGTTCTTTCGGGAGAAGCTCATAACATGTTTAAAGAAAGGAATGTAAAGGTAATGAATTTTACCACTAGTTCTTTAAAGATATTGTATTGCATATCTGTTATATCCTTCTTCAACTTGAGAAAATATTGATAATGAGCGTACAAATGAATCAAATTCGTCATTAAAAAAACTGAATGTTGCATCTATTATTGCTTTTACTAAAATGCCCTCAATTTTGTTAAAATTTTAACATAAGGGTAAAATTTATAAGAGTTTTAAGGCCTCGTTCGTTTCGCTGATTCGAGTTTTGCTACAGTCAAAAGCTCTCACAAACAATCACATCTAACTTTTTTGCTCTCACATACAATCACATCTCAACTCAAATTCTAAACTCGAATCATCGAAACGAACGAGACCTAAAATTTAAAAATAATGGATGTTATAAATTAAAGTTCGGAGAGTGTTTTATAGTAAGGCTTATAGTTCGACGTGCAACTTTGTAATTTGTCTAATGATATAATAAAAGAGAATAACTTTTTTTATACCCTATACCCGGCTGACCGGGACCCTACTCACTCATATAATTGTGGGGTTCACATGAGTCTTATAAATGGACTCTATCACTATAGAAATGATTGGCCCGGACCTAATGGGACTCTTTAGTATTGCTCAATAATATTATGTTTGGTAAGAGGGAGAGAACATAAGATGGAAAGAAAAAAGACGAGGAATAGAAAATAAGAATGGCGATAAAGAAAATGATTTTCTTTTGTTTTTGTTGGTTTGGTATGAAAGAAGAAAAAGAAAATGAGTTAGTGTATAATAACTATTTGAGATATTCTCTAATACGTCAACATACCGATAGGTTAGGTTTTTTAACCGTTGGATCCAACGGTTATAAAAACCTAACATATTGATACACTAGGCGTACCAGAGAATCTCCCTAACTATTTTATATATTTAAAATTATAATGTTAATCTATAATTGTGGTTAAAAAAGTAATTTCATCTTGTTATAAAAGTGAAAATTTTCCCTTCTAAAATCTCTTTATTGTGGAAACATAAAATATGGTAGTCCCACTTGCACTATTTTCCCTTCTAATTTCTCTCCCCTCTTTTATCTCTCCTACCAAACAACCTATTTAGCAATTTTATCTTCTAAAATCTATCCACATTCTTCCTTTCTTTCACTTTTTATCCCTACCAAACATACGTCGGATGATCAAATACAACTCCTTGTTAATTGGGGCACACTGAAAAGTTTTAGGGTCCTATATGTAAATATGTATAAAAATTTGAGACAAATGTTTTTAAGAATTTACTTTTTGTCTCGCAAATTTTAAAATAATATAATTTTGTCCCAATTTTCAAAATTTTTACGTAAAGACCCCTAACCTTATCAACACATTACCAAAACTAGGAATAGATTAGAAAATTTAATCATATGCTTTCCTACACCCTCCACCCTCCATTCCTTCCAATCCCCTAAAACTATCCTATCAAATGTTGTTCTATCTTGCATGGTAAACAAGCCTTGTATGCATAATACAACTGTAGCAATATTTTAATATCGTATCTAATTATATTTTACTAGTTTATACATTTGATTTGGTAGTTCGTAGTTTCTTATGTCAATGCTATATTTGGAACCAAAAGATATGAAAAGTGACTATTATATTTTGTGATCAAATGGATAATGCTATTACAAATGTTATGTCTACTTTTTTCATAATTATTAAGTTTTAGAAGTTATAAAAGTAAATTTTTTTTAATTTTCAAATAATCCGAAAATAAATTATCATTGTGATAATTAAATCAAAAGGAGGATATATACATATATATAAATATATATTATATATAAACTAATACCAATTAAATGCTAAAATCTATCATGTTTAGTATGTAAAATTTAGTAGCAAATATCGCATATGTTAAATTTAGCGGAAAAAAAAAACATTACATTGCATAAGGATTTTCCTTCTCAAATATTAAACTTTGAGATTATCACGTTAGTTTTGTAACATTTTTATTGCAAATGTAAATACTAATATCATGTTGTATTTGACACTAAAAAGTATGAAAATGAAATATATATTTGATGTTATTATGAAAATGAAATATATATTTGATGTTATTCTATTTTGTGCTCAAATATATAATTTTTATTTCAAATGTTAGATACACTTTTTTTTAGAATAAGAGTCTTTCTATGGTAAGGCCTCTTATCGGTGGTCTACACCAGTTGGATTAGGTGAAAAAATTAAATCAAAATGAAAAAGTATGTAGAACAAATAGTTTATATCACAAATTTAATGATTAAAAAAAACTTACAGATAGTTTAATTTTTTCAAGCCATATAATAGAAATCTCTTTAAAATAAATTTAAAATCATAATATTGTAATGATTAAATGAAAGGTTAAGACAACAGCCAACAACAATTAAATGCCAAAATTTGATGTAGTTTTATTTGGTGCTAAATTTATTACTAAATATAGCATAAGCCAAATTTAGTACCAAAAATAGTATTACACTAGAATTTTTTTATTACGTATATTAAATAAAGTAGAAGCATTTACATTAAAATATTACGTCGTTCCTGCCAATATTTCTCCTGAGAATCCAACTTTGTATGTTAGAGTAGTTTAACTGGATGTTATTATTCTAGAAGATTAATCAAAATCAATTTTTTATTAATTTCAGCTGCAATTCTTTTCATGATTTTATTTTTCAGAAAAATAATATTCATGGTCCTTTAATAAGGATCAATCATAAAAAATATATATTTTATAAAAAATAGTAATAGAAAAAAAAAAAACAATGATCTATTTTACCCGGTCTGGATTTA